GCAAAGTCCCCAGTGCCTGTGGACACGAGGTGTACGAGCCCCTCCGGTGCATAGGGGTGATGTCTTCTCACCCCATGCTCTGGGGTCCAGCTGCAGACACAAATACCGAGACACTTCCCCAGATGCACAGGCAGCACTGGGAAAAACCTCCACCACTGGCAGGGCCAGGCAGGAGCTGCCTGCACCCTGGGGTGCCCGGGCGAATCCGGCAGCAGCGTGAGGCGGATTGGAGCGGGGGTCTCCAGGCCTGCCATGCCTGAGCTGCCATCCTGCACGCTTTGATCGGGGGCCTCGGCGCAGTCTGCCTAGAGACACACTCACGTGCCCAAGAATTAGGTCAGGGCTCAGTGGGGATTAGTGAGTGGTGGTGGGCCCCAGGACTTGACTGGGGCTGCCGGGAGCTGCTGCTGGGCAGACGGGGCTGGGCTGGGGTGAAGAGCACCCTGGGGGGCCTCACACTGCCTGGATGCCCAGGGAGGGATCGCATCTCCATCCTCATCCCTGGGATGCCAGAGGGGGTTGGAGGCCACCGAGGACTCTGGTTTCCCCTGGCCAAGCTATTAACCCCACCACAATGACTTTACTCCCAAATCCGAGGCGCCCCAGTGCCTGGCGTGCTGCTTTTTATTTATACATGCAGTAGAAATAAAACTCGCGTCGTCAGAGCCTGGCAAGAAGCATGAGCTCATCTCTTATATTTGGTGGTGATGAAAGAAGGGTAAATAAACAGCAGCAGCATAGATGTCCCTCCCAGATCCATCGAGGTGGACTGGGGGTGAGCTTTTGCCATCCCCTCACATAGCTGCTGGGGAAACTGAGGAAGGGAACTGCCCTCGGGAAGCTGAGGGGGGGGGAAGGCAGCCTCACTGGGCACCCTTGAAAGGGCGTGCCAGCACCCCTGCCCTGGCTGAGTGCAAGATGTGGGTATGCTGAGGTGAAACCCAGCTGGCAGGGTGTTTGGGGCTGCCAGGAGCATGGGCAGGCAGTATCCTGGCAGCTTCCAGGTCCCCAGCACAGGGTACCAGTGGACTGGCTGAGAGATGTTATGATGATGCTGAATCAAAGCTGGGGAAATACTCCCTGATTCGGTGCACAGTTACTCAGTAAACTCCCACTGTGGGACAGCCAAGAGCCTCATATCAGGACCTCTGATTGAGTCTGGGGGCTGTACAGGTCCTTGTGCAGGCAGCATCTGTGCAGATGGGAAGCTATAGCCCCCAGAACTGGAGAAGAACACCCTGCAGCACCAGCTGACTGGAAGGGGTGGGGGAACTCCCCAGGCAGTTTTTAAGTCAGCCCCAGGTATGAGTGGTTTGGGTGCCCCTCTACCACAGGGACCACGCACCCAAGAGCATCACGCTGCAGCAGCACTTGGCAGCCAAGGTCCAGCTTAACCTATAGGACACCCTGCGGCACCTTGCTGTGAGAGGGGCCGTGGGTGCTGGGCAGGGTCTGCACGCTGTCACCCACATGCTGGCTGGGGATGGGGGCACAGTCATCACCTGTGGCCACATGCAGGGGACAGCTGGTTACCAGGACCCACTCAAGCTCCTCCTTCAAAGCAAACCCCACCACCTCCTCCTCACCACCTCTTGACTAAACATCCTCCACATTTACCGAAACTCTGGGCTTACTCACTCCTCCCTGGCTGGCTGCAGCTGCTGGGAGAGGTCCTGGTGTTTCCTGCCCAGCCTGACTCAGCCCAAAGCCCCGGCACCCCTCTGCCTGGGCTGGGATGTGGGGTCTGGCATCCCTATGGGAGGAGGCGGGAGCACCCATTGCTTTTCTCTCTGGGCCTGTGGTCATCCCATATACCCCTTCCCCAGCCCCAAATTTATTCCTGCTTTTCATCCCCCATGGACAAGAGATGCTCTCTGCTGGCCCCTGGCTGCTCATTTGCTCTGCCAGCAGGTCATCGAGCAGGTTGTGTGCTGGAGAGGTCCATATGGGGTTGACATTGGGGTTTTGGGGTGTTCTCCTTCTATTTGTGGCAGATGGATGGAATCCCTCTGTCATTCCCCCAGGGAAGGGACGGGAACATCTGGAGAGCAGCCGGAGAGCACTGACTCATCCTGCAGCATCATTAACTTCTTATAGCTGGTTATCATCTCTCTCTGATAAGGGGAGAGCAGCATCAGTGGGGTCAGGCTGGCAGTAATTGTCTGGGAAGGCTCCAGAGTTAACCCCTCCCCAGCTGCTGGCCGAGCCTCCCTGAAGTGCTGGGGTGTGGCCAGTGCTGGGGAGCAACCCAGAGCACCCCCCAGCTTGTGCTCTCAGCCTAAAGGGGAGCCCAACTCACCACGGCAGTGCCAGGGGAAGGAGGAGAGCTGGGGCAGGAAGATGTCACTGCATCTCCAGGAGGATGGGGGCAACAGGCTAATGGCTATTTCTAGCCAAGGTGCCAAGGGAAATGGTGCCATCAGCAATCAGTCCTTATTAGCAGGGTGTGAATCCCCCTCGTCTCCCCATCACGCTTCTGAGTGTAAAGATGTTTTTGAGTCTCGCTTTGAAACCGGCTGAGCTTTCCCTTTGAACACCCCCCCAAGCCCATGCCTAATGATGCAAACGAGCTAATTAGGCCACAGTGGAGCCCGGGGCTGATCGCCTGGGGCCAGCGCCTGGCAGCCGCCCCTTCCCTGTGCAGAAACAGCTTGGGGCTGCTCTCCCCAGTCCCCGCCAGCATCCTTAAGGCGAATGACAGTCCCTACAGAAACCTCCGCAGTGGGCAGGGGAGAGCAGCCAGGCTCATCCTGGGTGAAAAGGGCTTTGGGGTTTGCCCAGTGCATCCTACTGTTGGGAGAAGCTGTCTGCAATGCAGCTGCTTGTCCAAGCAACAAGATTCTGAGAACCCCCAGCAGCATCCCTGGGTTTTAGCCATATACTGCAGGGTTTCAGACCAAAAGAAGGGTTGGAGCATCCTGTGGGATTTCTGACCCCGCCCTCCTCCCCCTGCCCAGCTGGAGCCAACCTGCCAGCTCATTTCTTCAGGCAAGTGCTAGCAAAAATGGGGAATTAGTTGCCATCCCCCTGCCAACCCTGGTAGAAATAACCCTTCTGGCCAGCTGAGAAGGTCCAGAAGTGTGACTGGGAGATGTGAGCATCAGCATGGACCAGAGTGGGGCCGGGGTGCAGCAGGCGAGAGCTGGCACAGCCCTGCCCACCTTGAGCATGCAGAGGGCAGAGTGGCCCGTGGGGTGATGTGGTGACATTGCGGGGTGCTAGAAAGGCGGCACCCGTCTTTGTCCCAGGTCGTGTTTGGGCCACACTGGATGGCTGCCCACTCCGACATGGTGGCATCTCTCCCAGCTGTCCCCATGCTGCCCTGGAGCACAGTTCCCAGGCCAGCTGCCTGCTTGCTCCTGAAAATGAGGTAGTGTCTCCGACAGCTGGGTTAAAGGCTTCACTTGGGGCATTGGTCAATCTGTTTTCTCTGTGGTCTCCGAGCCAAATGGCAGGCACTGGCCATGAGGGACACACCACAGATTCTTGTCACTGAGCAAGCAAAGGAGGAGGCGGGTACGCTCCGGCGCTCCCTGGTCCACAGCAGGGACACCCCAAGGAGAGGAGATCAAGGTCAAGGTGCCCAAAACCAGCCTTTGCCAGGAGTCAGGGAGCTCCCCATCCTAGCCCTCCTGGCCAGGCAGCAACCAAAGCCTTGCCCTAGGTAATAGCTGTTCTACACCCTTTTGGGTTTATTGCTCCAGAAGGGAGCATGACCACATGCAGTCAGCTGAAATGGTTGGAGACTGAAGGCATTTTCTTCTGGAAAATTCTGGGCGATGAGATAGAGTATCTCCCAGTATGGCACCGATTTCAGGAAAGCTGTGTTTGGAGGTAAAGACCCAGAGAGGGGAGGGGAAGGGGGCTCAGAGCAGGGTAAGCCCACCATCTTCTTCTCAGTCAGAACACAACAGGCCATTTGGGGCCTGACACATCATCTTTAAGAAAGTGCAATATTAGCTCTTTTTTCAATATTCTCATTTAGAAGAAGCGAGAAATTTAGTTTCTACAAACGAACCACTTCAAATGATCCCAAATATCTTGGGCTTTTTTATAATCCCCCTGCCGCCCCAAGATTTCTCCTATGAGGAGAATTTCAAAATATTGCGTTTGGCTCCAATTCGAATCAAAGCCAGATTTTGAAACCTCCAGATCTTTGCAAAAGGGACCGTCACCCTCCGGGCAGCCACCTCCCGGCCTGGCCCAGCTAAGAGACCTCCAAGAAAAACGCATGAGGCAATACCAAAGGATGCAGAAAGCGTTCTTCACCCTGGACCCGGTGAAGCAATGTCCCCGCACTGGCCCAGCAACGGAGCCCAGATAGATGTGTCCCACCCTTTGGCTCCTTCTGGACTGTGGGACGTTTCTGCTCAGAGCACTGTCCCCATCCCAAGCCCAGGCTGGGTGGGCTCAGCCTCCCCCTGGCACTTTGCCCATCCCTGGAGCATCTTTCACTGCCTCTCCCGGGGTAGCTGCCTTTCGGGATGCACTCGCAGCATTTGGGCTCTCTGGGGGTGATGTGGGCCTTCAGCAACATGCATTACCTGGGGACCATAACCCCATCCCATAGATGCATTTTTCCAAGCACTTCCTCCAGGGCTGAGGTTGGCACATGGTGCCTGGCCCTTGATGGCCCGAGGGTGCTTGGGGCAGCCACTCAACCCGTCCCATGGGCGCTATCCTGCAGTGGGACCCTGATGGGATGGTGAGAGCCCCTGCCCCATGCACTGGATGTATAGTGCACACAAGGCAGAGACGCTGCCTCGTGCTCTCCATGGGCACATGGAACTCAGGGTCAGTGGAAACTGGGACAGGAATATTTGCTGGGGGGAGGGGTTGGCAGTGAAATCATGGGCTGCCACACCTGGGAGATGGGGGCATGGGCAAAGAAATCTCCACCCATGTCCTGAGGAAGGCCTGTGGGGGTGGAGGAGCTCCACACTCCATGCTGGAGGCACAAGATCATGGGCTAAGGGTTCCCGCTGGGTCTCTCCCTGCAGATGCCTCAGCTGTGGACATGGACCTGTACGATGCCCAGACGCTGTCGGAGGCCCTAAAGTGGTACCTCCAGGAGCTCCCATCACCCCTGATCCCTCCAGCTCTCTACAGCGACTTGGTCCACATGGCTCAAGGTAAGCACGGACAGGCTTCCCCTGCACCCATGACCTTTGAGGGGCTGGAGGAAGCTTTGGGAAGTTCCTAGAAAGGCTTTCCAGCATCTCCAGGGTGGCTCCTGACCCCATCCCTTGCCTGATGCTGCACTAAGGACAGATCCTGAGAAGGACTGCAGGGAGCACACCCCTGCACTGCAGCAGCATGGCAGCTTTGGAGAGATGCTTCAGGAAAGTGGCAGCTTCGCCCTGGGCATGGCATGGCCCTCTCCCACTGCAGTGCCCGGAGGAGGAGGAGCTGCCTACTGGGACGAGCGGCTCTCAAGGCTGGGTGATGCTGGCCCCAGAAGAAAGCATTATTATAATATTTTGGCTCTGCTGCCTGGGAATTTTTTACTGTAATCTCATTAACTCTTGGCTTTATATGGGCATAGAAAATTCTCTGCTTTTTCAGCTTAGTGCTGTTAGGAAGTGCCTTTAGGTCCCTGCAAGCTTTCCAGCCTCTCTGCAAATGTATGAGACTGTCAAGGTTTTGGTTTTATTTGAATTTTTTTCAAATAAACAGGACAGGCCTCATACCCAGGTCAGCAGAGTCACGGTCCATCCCAATGGGCAGCCTGTACCAAAACCCATTTCAAATGAGTCCTCACAGAGCCACTCCACTCCTCCCAGCCTGAGGCCTCATGGGCATTGCCAGGCACACACCAAGCCTTCCCCCACCATCTTAGATAGGAGCTGGACCACTCACCACCTTCGAAACTAGGATTTCCCCTTTTGCAGAAGCTCTTGTCTTGCTGCTGGTTGCTACAGTATCTGCCATCCCCGTGCATCACCTCCCTGCCCTAAACCAGATTAGCGCTTGGGTAGATCATGCTCTTGGTTGCCTTAAGAGGCACCAAAAGATCACCCATGGCCAGACCAGAGTGGCCTTTTCCTGCTATATCCTTGTGGGAAAAGTCCGTGGGCTCTTTGTGGCCTCCAACAAGGCAGGAGGGACACACAAAGAAGATGAAGGATAACTCACACCCCATCTTCCCTGCCCTGCGCAGAGACACAGAACCAGGAGAAATACACCCGGGGCCAGTGTCACCGACACTGCCTTCCCCTCACCCGTTGGGGAGAGGAGAAATCAAAGGCTGTCTCCTTTCCAAGGATAAAAACGCAATTAGGAAGCAATTAGCTGGGTTGCCTCGTTAAGCAACTTCAAAGGGAAGCGCCTTTCCCCACAGCCTGCACCAGAGTGGGCTCTGCTCCTGGCACGATGGGTGCGGAAGGAGGAGGAGGAGGCAGGAATGGAGGCAAAACCAATGGGGATTTCTCTGGGGCTTTAAAAAAAATAAATAGAAATCCAAGTCTTTCAGGAGACAGCGCTGGTTTTTGGCAGTCTGCCCTGCAAGCAGGCTCCTTCTGCCCTGCTTGAGGCTGCAGGCTGGAAAAGTGGCGAGCTGACCACCTGCAAAAAGAGGTGGAAAACATCCCCAAATTCACCCTTTGGCTGTGGACTTTCCCCCAGCAGCAATCCCTGGGTGAAAAAAAGGTGCAAAAAGCAGCCGATCAGGCTAGGAGAGGTCTGAAGTGAAGCTGAACATCCTGTGGGAGCAGCTTGTTGGATACGGGGGCACACAAACACCCCATCACAATCCCAACTGGGTTGCAGACATGCTCAGGAGGGTACCCAGACCCACCACCCCTCTGGTTCTGGTGCACCTCAGCCCTGAGGATGGATGCTGGGAGCTTGCTGGGCATCGGCCAAGCCTCAGCCCGGGTGCAAAGAGCCGTGGGGAGCTGAGTCAGCCCTGGGCCGAGGCGGGCTTTGAAGCCGGCTGAGAGCAATACAGCCCTGGGGACCTCCCCGTCCCCCGCAGATGAAAAGGCCAGGCCAAGGAGGGATCGAGGATGGCTGGAGAGCAGCTGTTTCTCGTGCCCGGGGCAGGACCATGGTCCCAGGCCGCTGAGCTCACAGCTCACAAGACTAGGGAGCCCTGGCCAAGGCTGCCAGAGGGCACCAGGGACGTGGGGGCATGCTGGTGGGAACACTGTGAGGCTGTGGGACTGCTCAGAGTGCCCATGACAGGGGTCCCGGCAGCACCTCCATCATGTGCAACACCATTAGGTGCCTGCTTGTATTCACATGGGCAATTCCAGCATCGCTGGAAGTAGCTGCCCCCTGATGAGCCCTCCCTGCTGCTGCATTTCAAGGGGCAAGAGAGGCCACGCAGGGAGGGCTGCAGGGACCTTGCTGCAGCCATGCCTGTAGCTCTCAGCCCAGGGGCAGCTTTTTCTCTCCTTAAAAGCCTTTTCCCTCCCAGCTTGCTTTTACTGCAGGGGAGGGCTGAGCCTTTTAAATTCAGCAGATCTTCCAGCTGGTGGCTGTTTCCCCCCTCGGCTTTGCTCTGCCTTTTCCAAGGTTTTGCAGGGCAGAGCTCTCACTGTTCTCTGTTGGAGCAGCAGCAGCAGCGCTGAGTGTTTAGGTGCAGATCCTCCAGATGAGCTACTCGGCCCACCATGCTCCCTCCCTGGCTGTGCTGAGAGGGAGGATGTGTCATGTCACCCTAAAATCTGATCTGGGGTGGTGTGAGAGGGTAAATGGGGCTGGCAGCCTCCAGCAAGAGGTGGCTGAGACTCCCAGGGCATCACCTCTGAGTGCCCTGTGCTCTCTGGAGTAACTCTGTGTCCCACAGCCTGTCTGTGGAAATGGATGGCTTGCAAAGAAATAGTCAGGGGGTTTGGAGGGGAGGTTGAGTTCAGGGTTTCTGTGGGGCTCTGTGTGTAGTAGAGACCTGTCACAGCTTGTGCCACACGTGCTGGCAGGTGCTGGACTCTCATGAGAGGCAAGGGGATGCCCCCACCTCCCAAATTGACTTTTCTTCTCCTGTTGCAGAGACCCCAGGCCTGGAGGAGTGTGGCCAGCGAGCTAGAGCCCTGTTGGCCCCCCCGGCCCTGCCACAGCCCCAGGCACTGCTCCTGCGCCAGCTCGCCCGCCACTTCTGCCGCCTCTGCCAGGGCACCCGCCGGAGCCGCCTCTCACCCCGGCTCCTTGGGGAGCTCTTCGGGGAGCTGCTTCTCCACCCCGCAGCAGCCAGGTGAGGTGCCCCTGCCATGTGTGGGACAGGGTGGGTGAGAGAAGGCTGCCCACAGCCAGGCACGGGCACACTAGCCCCCAACCAACCTGGGCTCAGCCCCAGCGTGTTCCAAAGGAGGAGTCTGGAGCTGAGACCCCCCCATCCCAAATGTGATGCTCTGACATCACACCACACGAGATCCCTCAGGGCAGCTGGCTCTTGTCCCAGAGGTGTGGGGGTCTCTGGGGAGACTGAGCTGCTGGCACCCTCACAGACTCCCCATTTCTCCCCACAGCACTGAGGCGAGCCCTGAGCTCCGTGCAAGGATCCTCGAGTCCCTCATCGTGGCCAGTGAGGCAGCAGAGGTGCCAGCAGCCCCTGGTAAGAGATGTGCGGCTGGTGGCAGAAGGGAGGCAGCGGGAGTGACATTTGGGGAGGTGATAGCAGCAGGTTACGGGGCAGTTTCGGAGGCGGGTGTGGTGACAGGAAGGTGCCCACATTCCTGTGGTGGTGCGTGGATTGTGCTGGCTCCCTAGCCAAGCACATTGTTCCCATTTCCCTCCCTCCTTTCTCCTCAAAGATACTGGTTTTGGAGCACTTCTTTGCAGACCCTCAAAAGGTTTGCAGCTGTTTTCTTGCTTAATGTCTGTGTTGCTGCTCTTTGATTCCAGTGTGGTGCAAGCAGGTCCTGCTCCCCCATTCTGGGGGCTCAGTAGGTGTGGGTGCTCTTGGTTGGGGGCTGCTGCACAGCTTGTTTTGGTGAACAGTGATCTGGATGCAGTCTGGGAGGAAAAAAATACCAACATAACCATAAAATGTCAGAATGGTACTTGCTACAAGATCAAATCTAGGTTTATGATTTTTGACTTGCATTTATTTTTCATATGTGCAGAATCGCACTGTGTCCATCAATGCACTGCTCTTCCCCCATGGGGCATCCCCAGGATGGGGATGAGGATGGGCACTTGTTCCCCACCTCTCCGTCTGTGGGAAAGGAGCTGGGAGCGTGTGTTTTTCTGTGGATGGTAATGATCCCACCCAGCCTTCACCCCCCGGGACTGCAGTTCTGCCTCTTTTATTACCAACACATGCATTTGCCTCCAGCACCTCTTTGCTCTTTACTTGTGCTCTGGTGGTTGAAGTCTTAGGTTTCTGCTGGCCACCTTCTCCTAGCTTCTTGGTGGCATCTCATGCCCCATCCATGTCCAAAACCGAAGCGCATGCCCCTTGTGCCCTCTGCAACACTCCAAGGATGGGAGGCAAGCAGTTCATCCAGTCAGGGACGTACATGGGAGGGAGGAAGGTTGCTCAGTGAACAGAAACCGCAGACCTTGAGGACCACAGAGATCCATCCCTGTGGGATCCCATCTCCAGGCAGACACCGAGATCCGGCTGTGTCTCCATACAGAGCTGGCCAGACCCCCAGGAGGCACAACTGCTTCCAGCCCTCCTGCTTGAAGATATGTCAGCACTGGTCCCAGTGAATCCTGCCTCCTTGTGATGTATCTGGGTCCTTGTCATCACCCTGCCTCCCTGGGGGGTGGCCGGGCAGGCAGGATTACGATTCTTAATATTCCTCGTAAATCAGCCCTTTCAGACCTGTCATCTTATTTATTGCTCTCCCCCAAGCTCTCACCCACGAGTTTGTCGAGGTCCGTATGTCTCTTCCACCCGCTGATCCAGATGTTGGGCAGCTGCAGCCCAGCAGTCCCCAGGGTCCCCGCTGTTGTCCCCAGATGCTGTGTTGTCACCGGTTGTCCCCACCCAAAACTGAGCAGAGGGGTTGGGCAGGATCCCGGGGTCCTTATTCCCTTTCTGGGCTAAAATCTCCTCCATGGGCATGTCCCCATGTGGGTACCCCACAAGTGTGGGGCAGGGCATGGGGCACCTGGGCTTGCTGCCCCACAAGCTGCTTTACTGCGGGACTTTAGACAAGTCCTGCCACCTCCCCTCTCTTCATACCTAAAAGCAAGGATATTATTACTTGGCTGTCATCACATTAGGATGTTGGGAAGCTTAATTAAATGCCTGCAAAGCGTTTTTGAGAGCTGTGGATGAAAGGGGCTATATATAAAGTGGAAAGAATTATTATTAGCGGTGGGGTCTATGTCCCAGGCCCACTCCCATCACCCTGGCCCCGGTCTGCTGTGTCCCGGCACCGTGATTATTTTCGTGCGTGTGTGGAGTTGTGGTTTTATAATTATACATGTAAAATAGCTATAAATACCCTGCAATAACACGGCGGGTGTGTGCACATAGCACAGGAATAGGAGTTGGTAGCTGACACGGAGGAAACTGCGGTGTGACCTCATTCTGACTCAGGCATAAATATACCTCGTGTGAGCGGGCGGCTGGGGGGTTTGGGGGCATTTGGGGGGTTTTGGAGGCCGCTTGCGGGCTGCAGGGACAGTGGCTGCCTTGGCAGTGAGGGTCATGTTTTGGGTGAGGTCTGAAGCTGGCTGTTAACACTGGGGAGGCTCCTGCAGGGTTGAGGTCCTCCCTCTTCCATGTGTTCTGGGGCTGGTAGGAGGCTTGGATGTGAAAATCATCAAGAATAAAAATGTAAATTATGAAATTTCTGGAGGGGCTTCCTTGGGTGGATTTGTTGTTGTGGAGTTTGTGGAATCCCTTCCCGCAGGCACTGCTCCTGGAGGGTCTCTGCAGCCACCCGTAGATGGGATGTGAAGGGGAATGGCATGGGATGGGTCCATGATGGCTCCTGAAAGCTCTTCCTAGTGACTGGGGGATACAGCATCGGGGTCATGCTGGAGGTACTAGTTTGCATGGGGCCATGCACTGGTTTGCACGGGCAATGCCACAGATCAGTGGCAAAGCTGGGACGGAGCCTGGAGCCAAGTGGCATTTAGGCCACCTTGCTGAGCTCTCCAGCAAGCCCCCAGCTCTGGGCAGCCACCCCCAGCCCAGGGGCACAGGGACATTCCTCAGCCCCATGAGGACCCAGAGGTGGGCACACAGAGCCCACAGCAGGACCCCAGAACGTGCCCGGAGCTGTTTCCCGAGCAGGGTGAGGGGGCAGGGGAAAGCAAAGGGAAGAAGTGATGCAAATACCAGCTCAGCTGAAGGAAGATGACTTCATCTCCTTTTCCTCTCCTGGTGCTATTTATAGCCACTTTAATTTACTCCCCTTTGCTTTATTATCTCTCCAGCAAGCCGTTAGCCCTCAGACAGCAGGATGCCTTTACTCACCATGCAGCACAGAATTCTGAAAAAAAAAAAAACACCACCACCGAAAAAACCCAAAAGCAGGGGTGGAAGGCAGGGAAAGGCAGCAGAGCACTGGGGGCAGGAACATCACTGTCCTGTGGCATAGATTTCTGGAGAAAATGAGAGGATTATGACTCCTTTTAGGGAAAATAGTGAGAATAAGGTGAGGGAGATGTCGTCTTCCTCCTTCAGAGCAGTGGCTGGAGGAGACAGGACTAGCAATGCCAGGGTCTCCTCCTCAACCCAGGACAGGCACTGCTGTTTTGCTGGACCCTGATGAGGCAGGGGGACGCCCTGCTTCCCCAGGACCCCCAGCCCAGTATAATGCCATTGGGTGGGGATCAGGCTCCAGCACCCAGCCCAAGGGCCTTGAAAACACCTTTCCAAAGAGCAGGTTTGGCAGACACATGCCACAGGGAAACTGAGGCACAGCCTCCCCATGGAATCACTTTCCCACCAGCTCCAAATCTGGTCCTTGGTGGGGTCGGTCCCCAGATGCCCAGCCGTGAGCCCAGCACCACGGTACCTAACATCCCAGTAGGGATGGAGGCCATAGGGCTGTGGTGGGTGACTTCCCATCACATCTTCTGATGTGACACACTGGGCACTTCCCAGCCTGAGCCCCACGCAGGCACCTCTGTGACAGCATCACTGCCAAGCAGGACTGCCACGTCAAACCAAATTAGAAGTATCTGGCTTTGAAGTTTTTAATTAACTTTTTTCCTGTTTGCTTTCTTCTGAATCCAAGGGAAAAGACCATCCTCTCACTCTCCCTGGCTCATGTGTCAGCGTGTCACAGCAGAGGTTGCAGACTTGGATGTGCAGGAGGTCAGGAGGGAGCAGAGGGCTTGCCAGGAGGGGCCAGCCCAGGGTGGGTGCAGACCCCCACCTGTCCGGGATGCTGGGGACCATGTACCATGTCCAGGTGCTGCCCTGCCTGCACAGAAGCATTCCTGCACAGCCACGAGCATCCCACTGCTTGGCATGGCACATCAGCTGCAGGGTGTCTCCAGTTTGCGTTACTCCTTGGCGTTCCATCCCCTTGGGGCTGCCGATGGGGAGCTGATGGAGGTTAAAAATAGCCAAGAAAAAATCCAACCCAAAAACCCCTGGATGGAGGGCAGCATGGGGAGGCCATGGCCAAGTTGCAGAGAAAACAAATTGGGGGGGGGG